ATAACATAATTTCTTATATTTTATCTTTTCTAACAGATTATTATTGACCTAATAAATAAATTATATTTTGCCATCAAATCATCTAATTATGCTTAAGTTCATGTACTATTTTGAAAAATTTGTGAGGGCATTTACATAAAAACCAAATAATATATGTATAACATCTAAGTATTAATATTTACATTCATAACCCTCAACTCTTCACATTTTTGTGCATTGCCACATTGCTGCTTTTATTTGGAAATTGATGGATTCTATCTTATGATATCTCTTTAAATATGTTAGCCCATGGTCCTATAAATTCTAAGTATCAAATTATTCGTATTATTCTTTCTCTCAGTCTATGGTTTATTTAGAATGATAGGAACAGCTCGAAGCATCATAATATTAATATGAATCAATAGTCTATCGTGTTTAATATTTCTCAAAAAATTAATCTCTTAATTAGAGCCAACCTAATGAATTTTAAATGTTTCGAAGGCTTTCAGCAGGCTCTATCTGCCTTTGCTCTTCAGGATTTGGAGCCTCCTGATCCTTATTTTGTTAAAGTGCATTGGTTCGCTCCGAGGTTGGGGTGGGTGAAATCCAATACGGAAGACTAGATCTGGCAGCTTTGGTGGTCTCTTGAGAAACCATATGGGTAATTTCTTATTTGCTTTTGCTGGCCCGGTTAATAGTTACTCTGCTAGATCTCTACTGCTTTTTCCTTACATTGTTGTTTTTGCTCTGTCTTAGCTCTTTACAGGTTCCCTAATGTTCTTTTGGTGCTTTTGACTTGGCTTCTTCATGGTTCCATTGAAGCTTCTTCGTGTAGTTCGGTGTGCTTCTTTTTCGTGTTCTTGGTTCTTTTGGAGCTTCTTTTATGTGTGTTGTATTTTAGGAGCGGTGGGGATCCTCCTACCATACTCTGTACTCATTAAAAAAAACACTTTTATATTTACATATCTAACACGAACATTTTACATTTATAACACATTGATGAGATAAATTTATAAATGAAAATGTGTATTTCACAAAGTAGACCACTTTTGAATGTAATACCTTATATTAATAAGAAATTAAAATAAAAAATGCAATAAACACCTTATTTTATACCAATCAGTATAAAGGCCAAAAGCATATATATGACTCCCACAACACCAAATACAACATTAATGATAAAGAGCCATTTGCATACAGACCATCCGAAACTTGTTATTTACATAACAAACCGACTCTCTTTCACCATTTTTTCAAATCCTCCCTCAAATAGCAAACTTCGTCGTAAAATCCCAACCCATTTTTTTACATTTTTATCAAATTCTCATTAGTTCGATAAATATCAATATTTCAGATGATCTGTACGTAACAATTCCTAGTAATTAATGATTAACCCTTCGACAAATCTTCCTAATTTCACCATGGGAGCCAACCAGAGGAGAAATATTACCCATCTTAACTATAGACTTCGAATACTGCACGAAGAATTGATCATTACTCTCTGCAAATTTTGTCACAAGTTCCATGGTGACATTGCTGCCTGTGAAGAGAACCTCATCAGAGCTGAGAAGACCTTTGTTGGCTATGAGGTTTTTGAAGTACTGATTATCGAATGTTGCAGGGGTGGTGAAGTCTAGGGAGAAAATGGTCTGGTCGCCGCCTGATCGCGGGCAGGCGGTTCGTAAATTAGCCGCATAAGTTTGGTCCAATGTGATGTCGGGCAGGCCGTTCCCGGTCTGGTTGTACAGTCGTTGTCGGAAGCTGGTGCACCGTGATTTTCCGATCGTGTGGCTTCCTGTTAACACATTTTTAAAGTTTCATCAATCTTTATCTCCCATAATATACATAGGAATCAGTTGTTTTGTACGTAAAAATTGAAAGTCTTAAATCCTCTGAGGTCACGGGTTCGACCCCACCCGAGCGCATTTGTCTTACAGTGCTTAGTCGAGTAATTAGGCACATGAGATTGGTTGAGGGCTCATATCATAGCCTCGGAACCATTTGTGTTTATTACACTAAAAGCAATACTTTATATTTACTTACAGCTGTGCTTTAGAAAGTCCTCAAAATCAACATAAATATAAAAGATTAGGGTGGTATAAATGTAAAAAAGAGTTTTAAGTGCTACATATGTATATAAATTGGAATTGGGTGGTATGTCTGCAAAGCTCCTAAAATAAACTGTTACTCAACAGTCCTGAGCTCATAATTCAGACCAGAAGGCTACAAATTCAATGGCTAAATAGTCAAATAGTACAAAATATGACAGCTGCAGCTACCAAATATGTAGGAAATTCTTGGGTATTTAATTTGCAAATATTAATATTTAGATGATTTATATGTAATTATTCCTAAAATAAAATATATTTTATGACATAATTACCTGAGAGGGCAACAACATCAACCACATTGAGTCCTTGTCTCTTGAACTTGGTGATAATTGTGCTGAGTGTATTATTTGGCTGTGGAATGTCATTGTTGGAGCCACTCAAACTTGCACTTATGGAGTCCCTCCTCCCCAATGGAACCACCCAATTTGGTCCTCCTCTCTGTTATATACAATAAATACATTAAATTCATACATATCAATGATCAACACCAAATGCGCTGGTTCGAGTTAACCATATGCGGATCGAATAAATCAAGTTCAGGCCAGATGCAAACCTTATCCATCAACTTGATTTAACGAGAAAATATTATGTCCGGACAACAGACGTGAATAAGACAAGATAGCATAAACCATAGATGATGTGGTGCAATCTATGTCATTATCTGCACGTGTGGTTCACCGGACGTAATATTTTCTACTATTCAACATAGGACGTATTTCGTGATTTATGAAGCAGATGACTCACTAGAACGGTTCCATCCCTGGCAGCAAGAGCCAAGATATCTGCACAAGACACAGTGTTTGGGCAAGCTTTCTCCACCGCAGCTTTGATTTTATCAATTATCTTGAAACCTCTCGCTGAGTCACGATTCGAGTTCGATCGCTTCTCGCTTAAGAATGAGCCACTGCTATCCAATAATACCGATCCATCACAACCCTACACATGAGAAGAAATATAAAGCGCGTTTAATGCATAATCAAACAAAAAAAACTATATATATATATATATATATATATATATATA